AAACTCGCGAGACGATTTTACACTTTGTAGTATAAAAAATAATATACGTTGTCCAAGAAAATTTTAAGGAAAAAGCAAAAACTTTTCACTAGCTAAAAAGTGGTTCGAATTAGGAACAATCGCTCTACATATCAAAGATTCTATTACAAGACAAATACTTTGTTGTTAGAGATACCTATGGTCATATATAAATATATATCCAAATGCTATTGAAAAAATAAGTTAAAGAAGAAGAAAAAAAAGAAATGTATATATACACAAATATATATATATATATATATATATGTATTAAACATTCTATGGTCCATTTTCTTGTTGTTCTTTGTAGTCTTATTTTTTTTTTTTTATCCACATCTTGTTGTATTTTGTTCATCATAACGGGTATGCGATTATATATATATTAAAATGCCAGTAGATATAGAGTATATATACGCGTTAGCAACACTTAACTTGATTGACTCATGAATAAGAAAAAGAGAATAAAGTAGAAGCAAGGTGAGATCGATAAGCGAAAGTACACATATACATCAAAAGAGTAACATAAACATCTAGCATCAAGTGTAAAATGAATATTTATATATTGACATAAAACACACATTGTTGTTTGTAGATGTGATTTATTATTATTATTATTTTTTTCAAAATAGTCATTATTACTAAGAGAGGAGAGAAATAGTACAAGATATATGTAGTTTCGTTGGTTCTTCATGAATAACTCACACTTATTCTCTAACGTGAAAAATGTGACTTATCGTATTTTAAAAATTCTTTTCTATTCTATTTTTTTTATTTTAAAATGTTACCCCATGCCGACTCTAAAAGATCGCCACATAATCTACACACTGTTTCTCAAAAATGATAGTTATACATTTCTATTGTTATGGGAACTTGGTGATTTAATTCCTACATCTTTTATTTGTTTGTTTATTTAGGACAGTATGAAATATTAACATTAAAGAATAATCATTTTTCTGATACATTGGATTCTATTCATCCACATAATTATGGGAATGGTACATTTTCTAAATTAAGACGACTAGATCGAACAAATACATATTTTAATGAACTAAAAATGAAACAATCATCGTCATCAGCAGCCACTGTTCATATCGATAAACCAAAACGGAGTAGTTCAATGATCACCACCTCGAATCTTCACAAACCAAGACAAACTACATCAACAACCGTTGCTCAGTCACTAACCCCAACAAGTTCATTTTCATCAATTATTTTAACAGATGGGATGAATGAGTATGAACTAACGACGACACCGGTTAAAAAATCATCCGTTGAAATAAATCGACGAAAAACAATTGCAACATGTCAAGATTTTTCTCAAAAGCAAAAGACTCATCATCACTCAAGAATCGATGATAATAATAAACCAATAAAACCACCACAACAACGGGATTTAGCGATAAACAATGACGAAAATTCTACGGCTGCAACAATTTTAAGACGTCGACGGATTATCGATTTCTCAAGACGTCGTACAGTTGCAGCCACTCCTTCTTCCAAAGTAGATAATAATAATAATAAAGAAAATTATAATGAGAATAAAAAACCGTTATCTCTGTCTCGAAAAGAATCGTTAACAAAACCAATCGTTGTTACACAAAAAATTTCTACCAACAATGTTTCATCCTCAACATCTTCATCTACTTCTTCATCATTTGCTAAAGCAGATAATAAAAAAGAACCGGTGATCGAACTCATTCAACCACCACCTATTTATCAATTCACATCATCTCCACTAACTCAATTACCTAAAAAATATTATTTTTATAACAATAATCCGACAAGTTCTGATAATGAGTCTGTGTTAGATGATGCGCTGATGAGTTCCTATGGATTATTACAAAACTCTGACTATATTAAACAACGATCGAAAAATCGCAATTCGATCGCCATGGTATCATGGCAAGCGCCTCAACAGCAGCAGCAAAAGCAACACAGTTTACCCATGCCAATGTATAAGAGTAACAACGATAGTTTGTCATCTAAAAAATTGACTAATTTTCACATGATAAGTCAATATAGTAATCGTTCTAATAAACGTAATTCACGTTCATCATCTCCTTCACAATATCAACCTCGTCAATTAATAAATACAGATCCGGTTGATGATCTACTGTGTGATCGTGAAGTGGAAAGTTATTTTTATCCGAATTCGTCATATTCCCTTTATGATGATTCTCCTTATGAATTTCAAAACGAACATTCACATCTCAATGTTAACATACCATCAACACATCAACAAACGGATCGCTATTCATTTCAGATAACAAAACCCACATTACAAAACATGACAAGTGCAATAATAAATTCATCAGATTATTATGGAACACTGTGTTAAACTTTTTTTCTTTTTCATTGTGCTATATGTATTTCTTTCCGTGTTCAATAATATATATGTAAAGAAAAACAAATGGTACTTGTTATAGACGGACAATATACCTTAACAACTCAAACAAGTTGTCCTGTTGAAAGTCATGCGTGTTTTTACTTTTTTACAAGAAGAAGAAGATTTCACCTTGTGCGGCTACGGGTATTGGGTGCTGACGAGTGTCAGCTTCTACAGTTGATAGGCTTCTGACTTGGTCATCTCATCGTTACTAGTCGTCCAACTACAGTTCTTATCACAGATTTCGGCCTTAGACAAGAGAATTTTGTTTCAGCTTTAATTTTTTAGGCAAAAATTTAAGTGTGTTCTACTTAGCTCACGAGGGAGGTCCACCAACTTGAAAATCGGTTTTGAGATGAAACCTAGTGGATGTTAGGTAATCGACCATGCTGATCCCGAATATTGACATGAGACGGACAGTTAGGCCTTCAACGACCTGTTTTCGGGAAAACCAGATTTTCAGAAACTCTAAAACGTAACCAAAATCTTTCTTAATAAGTTCCACACATTTCTGATTAAAATAAGATATCTCCCGGCTCTACATGACCTTTCTTTACATAGTTATACAATTTACAAGAAAAGCCTTAAATGTTCATTGTCAGCTCAATACTACAGAAATAAGGAAAAATTAATTTAGGGCTTTTCTTGTAAATTCTATAACTTTGCAAAGAAAGGTCATATAGAGCTGGGAGATGTCTCATTTTAGTCAGAAATTTGTGGACTACAAGCATGCCTCATTAAGAAAAGTTTTGGTTATTTTTTAGAGTTACTAAAAAACTGGTTTACCAGAAAACGGGTTTTTGGAGGCCTAACTGCCCGTCTCATGTCGATATTCAGAATCAGCATTGTCGATTACCTATCACCCACTAGGTTTCGTCTCAAAAGCGATTTTCAAGTTGGTGGACCTCCCTCGTTAGTCTTTTACTTCGTTTTCCTGAGAGAGATTTGACGTTTCATTCGTATAATTTTGATTATTACGTGCACAATACTGAAGTTCGAACATTTCTGTTGAACAATAAACTGAACGCAGTGTGGTCAATCGTTTTCGAATGATAACTAATTACAATTAGCTGTTGATATTTTTGTTATTTGGTTTCATGTTGGGTTGTGAGTTGGAGACAGTCATGAAATGGTTTTTCGGCCTGTCCAAGCGTACCGGTCAAAAAATGTAAGTCTGTAACGTTTTGTAAAATTCATAGCCCTTCAGCCAAGCAGCGTACAGAGTTGGGGAGGTCTTATTTTGCACCTTAAAGAGTTTTCTTCTAAATGGTAATTAAGCAAAATCTAGCTCTAGCCTAAACATCTGTCTATACTTCGTGCTAATAAGGTCCTTTTGTACGAAAGTGGTGTATATTAAAAACATTATGGCCCTAAAACTAGTCAACTGCTAGACTTTGCTTAATCACCGTTTGAAAGAAAATTCTTTAAACTACAAAATAAGTTTTCCCAATTCTGTACGTTGCTCGGCTGAAGGGCTATGAGTTTCACAAAACGTTACGGACTTGTGTAAAAAGTTGACTTTTACCTGGATGAGCCTTTTTAAGAAATACATACCTTAAAGTGAATCACTGAATATATTTTTTTTCTTGATTTCGCCGATTTAGATCAAAAGAAACATTGTGGCTACACAGTTCTTTTGATTTCATTCATCTCGTTTATATAGCGTGAATGTTCACTCACGCTTTTATCCAACGAAAAAGGTTACTAAGTATGAATTTTCTACAACGTCTATGAGCTTATCGACTTATGAAAAGATTATAAGATTTTAGTTAGCTAAAAACATCGTCAGAAGACATGCTCGCAAAATTGATAGCAATAGAATCTCAAGGCTTGTACAGTTTCCATTTTGTTTCGAATAATGAAACTGAATAGTGTCTATAAGAAAATGTTTCTTATTTGAAATAGAATACATTTGCATCATGATCGAAATCAAAACATGATAGTTGTTTTCTACAGAACAGATACAGCCAATAATACTGAATTAAAGTCTACGCTTTTTAGATTAAAAGTGTTTCATCCCTTTTTTTAATTCATTTATTTGACATAGATAGCAAGTGATTTACAACGAAACGTAACACTCTCAGTAACTATCAACTACTACAATTACTGTAAATGCAGAAATATTGTGTTGGGATGTTTCTGCTTAATAAGAGTTTATTCAATGTTACCAATTCCAAAAAAGTAAAACATAAACTAATAAACGAAATAAACAAAATGACATGATCATCCTACGTGATTTTTTATTGATTGTGCTTTTATGTTGAAATTTTGTAACTGTTTTTAGTCCGACAAAATGCCAGTGTTGCTAGTACGTATTTAATACAGAATCTAGATCTATGTCATATTTTTCTTTTCGTATGTTATTTTATGTTTTACTTTTTTCAAAATATGAGTATTGAAGTGGTTACAGATTTCAGAAATAAATAAGATTGAACGTGGTTTATAGAAATTGTGGGTATTGATGAGCATCAATTTACATTCTATGACGTAAAGAAGAAAACGCAAGATTCTACTGATTCTTCTCTATATAATAAACATATTTTAGTTCAATCTTCGTATAACTATGTAGAAATCTTGACGTAATGATCCAAGTTAGACATTGTGTACCCTCAGTTTTCGGTATAGTTATTCCTAATTTTTAATTTAATTGATCACTATTGTGAAAACAAGAAGCTATTGACATGCCATTGGTCTTTTACATGCGATCTTATCTCAATTGATGTGAAAAACTCATAAAATACCCTTTTCTTGTTTGCCAAGAAGGTTGTACTATAAATTGTTCGTTTTGTTGATCGTTCCAGGTAAACAACAATGTCTTGATGATATTGATGAAGATGATTGTGAAAAATTACTTTACAATCCATTGACTGAATACCGTTGTCGAAATGACCAGCGTATTGATCAAGAATTATATTTTATATTAATTATAATTAATATATATTATTATATTAATTATATATTGATAAGTCTTTAGATTGTCAAGGTTGTTCTGATGAACTATCATCAACTCAGAACAATTCCAACTGTCCAGCTAAATTAAATTTTCTTTCTGATGAAATTTTGCTACCATCAAAGTTTTTATTATTCTTGCGGTGACGGTGAAGTTCTAAGCGATATGACAATTTTAAGACGTGATATAATGGAGGTGTGATCTAGCTAATAAAAATTCAGTTATTTCGAATAAAAATTGCTCAATGGACGATCCGTTTTGTTGGAATCATACATATTCAGATGGTACAGTTTATCGATGTCCAAATGTCGGTAAAAGCCTTTTAACTTATCATGTACGGGATTGCTTTATGAATTAGTCCAGAGATTTATATTTTTATGATTTTATCAGTTGTTTTCACACAAAAAAATTCAGTATTAGATTTCACAGGACGTTAAGTTTTAGAGAGTTTCTGTTTTGCGGAAGAAATAAGTTTCTTTTATTCAAACAAGAAACAACCTTTTTATCTCGAGAAACTGTGTTATAATCGTAGTAGGAGAGAAACCTCACAAGAAAATCTACTTTTTTCTTCAAGCAACATTGTATTTTCGGATAAAAAATCGGTGAGAAGATATTTTCGTTGCATTTTTTAGTGTAGAAGCGTTTTTTTTAATCAAGTAATTCTAACATGCTACCTAATTACATGATACCTAATTTCGATGTAAATTGTGAATAATCGAGCCAGCTAATTTCAAATAAATTTCTATATTAAATAAGTGTACTTTAAATTTCTTTTTCTTTATGTCATTCTGTACATGCCTCATCATGCTTACATGTATTCATAAATCATTAAAATTCCAATGAAATTCTTCCGAAAAGTGTGTGTCAAACACTTATGGAGTTATTCCTGCCTTGATTATTTGAATATAATAACAACATACATCAATATCAATCTTTGTCATCACAGTGTGGCAATTTTGAAAAATAGCTTTAAACAATCTACAAAAGGCATTGAAACTAGAGACACACATAGTCGAAAATATGTCATTATTCTGTAGTATATTTTCTAATATTAGTTTAGTACAAGACGACCTCGGCAACTAACCGGCTGCTTTATAAAATGATAAAAAAAGTGTTGAAACTCGATCGATTGAATTTGCGTACAATGAAAGATTTCGGTGCAGCGTTGACACAAAAAAATGAATGAAGAAGGGTAACATCGAGTTATTGTCAATTGTTGTGCGGAATATAACGAAAAACAGTGAAGTTGATTTTTGTAGTTCATCTGCAGATATCAAGTTTGTGTGTTCGATCCTTGTTACATTCAAAATTGATTTTGTGTTTTGATAGTTTAGGGAACAGCATAACCTAATGGGAAATCATATTCTCGCTTTCATTCTGGTTCAAAATTAAAGCTGAAATCAAAGATAATATCGATCTGACGTATTACAACATGAACAATCGTTCTAGCTCGCTCTGTGCTGGCAATTGCCCGTCGTGTTATAACGCGTTGTAAAGTTATTTTTCTAGAATTTATGGCGTTGTAACTGGATAAAAACTTCCATTACATTACAACTCTATAAATTTATAGCATTATAATCCGTTTCAATATTCTGTCTCGTTACAACGCAATTAGATTATAACGCATTAGAGTTTTCTACTTCAATCTAATGCGTTTATAATACCTTGGATGTTTTATCTAATTATAACGCCATAAATTTAGAAAAACCTTTTATAGCGTTATAACTCATTAGATAATGCACATCGTATTATAACTAGATAATATCTAATAGACTATAATGCATTATTCTTTTCTATCTCGTTGCAATGGGATAAGAAAATGGAACTCGATGTACAATAGATATCCAAAATGCAAATACATGGTTTCTCGTAAAGGACACATTTTCATAAAATTCTGAGATTGCCAGTCGATCCCTCTCGAAAAGTTGGTCTGAGAAAAATTACTTCAGCTATAGCAGACACATACGTTACTGACTTGTGACTTAGGACATCAAGTCCCACAGCACACCTGTTACCACTGTCACGTATAGTGATACAGCGTTTGAACAGTTAATGCATTCTAATGTCATAAATTTATAACGTTATAATGTGTTAGATATTATAGCAGTATAATACATTAACCTTATAACGCGTTACAGATTAATGCGTTATAATGTGATAGGAATTTATTAACATCTTGTAACGGTTAGCGTTAGTTGAATTTATAGCGTTGTAGCATTACAAAATATGAGAAAGTTGGTGATAAAAATGCACTATAACACTATAAGTTCAAGTTTTTGGCAGCTTTTTCCACATAACGCGTTATACTAATGCCTTACAATGCATTAAAGACATGTTTTTTCTAAATTTATCGAATTATAACACAACACATTACAAGGCATTACGATATGCGACGCATTATAACGCAAAAAATAGGAAAAAAGGTCCTGTGGGAGAGCACATGATGAGCAAAAAAGCAATATTTCTTACTGTTCTGTTCTATTCCTCTTTGGAAATGGAATAGATTCTTTTATTTTTTTATCTTAATAGATGCATTCGTTACCATCATGCAGTACAGTGGAATTAAGTATTATGATTTCAGTTATCCCGAATTTAGCATGAAAACAGATCGTTTTACGCAAGTTGTATGGAAAAATTCAATACGATTAAGTTCTGCCGAAGTAGTAAGTGCTACTAGAGCTGTGTGCGAATATTATGCATCAGGTAATTATAACAATGAATTTCAACAAAATGTTTTTCCGTTTAGCGCAAAATTCAGTAGGATACAGTTGCAGAGAGCAAATGTGAGTAATCAACACGATCTCGCTCTTTATTTGAACATCCTGTTCAAATTAGTTGTGGTTTCAATGGCAAACTAGCTAAATGGTCATTATCTCCACGAGACATGTATTGGATTCGAATTAAGGCTTAATGATTAAAATTCTCTCGTACTTATTGATCAGCGAAGTCCAATCAACAACTGCTCATCACAGGTTTTTCAGTAAATTTAGGCGTCCTAATTAATATACTGAACGCTAGACTAAAAAATTCAACAAAAATTGATATAGGTTAATGTTTGCTGCTTACATTATTTACTATTGATACACAGGCATATTCAGCTATATAAAAAGTTCAATAAAGATAGAAAAATAGTGTAACTATCAAAAATATACATTTACTGCAAAAAGTGTCGTTGACATATCAATCAATACTGAACAGTTTTAAAAACGAAATAAAAAGATAGAAAAAAAAGCAGCTGTGAAATAAAAATAAAAAAAGATTATCAGTAACTGAATGAAAACTTTGTTTTATTCAGCTTGTCTCATTTTTTGCTGTTCATGGCGAATGTATTTTTGACGAATCTGAACCTGTACCCATTTTAAAGAGTTTTGGCGATAAACGATTTGTATCTTCACGTTCACGAATCGCTTTCAAACGATACCAATGTGATTGATCATCAATAACAGCGGCATCTAGAAATAAAATGACAATGGAGAGAGAGTTAACGAAGAAACTAATGAATGATACTGACTCACCTTTTAAATCAATAGTTACTTGACCTATAAAATCATTTGCTTTAAATCGATCATAATCCCATACAGTAAACTCAACCATTTTATTCTGTAATTCCTCACGATGAACATTTGGATAGACGACTACATGATTCCATACGGGATTTAGTGACTTTGATATATGTTTTGTACGGCGTTTATTTTCTTGACTAACAAAACAAAAACAATGAAAAATTAAGTATTTTTTTAGAATTAATAAAAAAATGCAGTTAAATACTTACTCACGACCAGGTAAAAGATAAACTTTAACAAATGGGTCGGAAAATCCGTTTGTATCTTTTGCTATAAGATTTTTTGCTTTAAGAATTTTGATTACTAACTGCTCATCTTCTTTATTATGAGCAATTTGTAACTATAAAAAAGCAAACTATACAATATCATATTATTAATAGAAAGCCTTATATTTACTTGAATATCTCCAACGTAATCTTTTTCACCAATTTGAGGCTAAAATCAATGGCTACATAAAATATCTCTTACTCATTTCAGAAAATTCAACACATTACCTGATCAGAAATTTTTTCACCATTTGAAAAATCGACACTTTTTGTTTTTTTTCTTAAAAAGTTTAATCTTAATCCTTTTCCACGATTTTCCAAATGTTCTCTTCCATTAGATGATGATCGAAGAAAATCTTGTATACCTTTTGATGTAGTTGTCGAATCACTACTCAATTTACCATTGTGTGATAATCGACTTGCACGTTGTTCATTAACACTGCTACTACGTCTCGCTGGTGTATTTGATAATGTTGGTTGTGTTAAATAGTCATCTCTCAATGAACTTTTTCGACTATGATCTGATGGAAAATATTTTGATAGATTATCACTTTCATCTGATTCATTTGATCCACGTCGATCACCATAATCTGATGGACATAAACTATTTCGATGTTCATATCGACGATAATTTAAATTATTTTCATCAGCCGATTTCTAAAAACAAGAACAGAATTAATCAAATAGTATAATAACATTTTTTTTTGAATTTTGAACCTTCATCTTTACTGTCTGCACATAAAATCAATTTCAGTCTAGAAATAATGAAGTCAATGTTTTTGTGAACGGAAATTCCTGCTAAGAGTTTCAATGTCTTTTTTAGTTTATTACACAGACCATATTATATAAATCTTATTTTAATACGCAAGAGAAAAACAGGAAATGAACGACCGAATAGAACTGCTGATGCGTCTATTATCATAATGAAAACAAAATTATTAATTGGAAATCACAATAGATATTGACTTTCAAAGGAAAATAACTCATTAGACTATAAGAATTCAGAAAAAAATATCAATGAATGAATGAATGATTATCAAATATGTCTTTGATTTTATACATTAATCTTTTTAGAATTTATTCTTAAGCATGAAGAAATTTAATTAAAAAATTACTTCAAATATATTAATCAAATATATTAATCAATTTTGAATTTAAATATACAATTCTCATCTATCTTCGTTGTGGACAACTTCATTATTCTTACGTTTCTATGGTACATACTTAAAATTAAGGTACCACTTATCTCAAACTTATCTATTTGAACTATCCGTACTTTTTCTTATTATAAAAGTAATAAATAAGAAGGGCGATGCTTTATTTAACTAAAATAGATTTGAGCGATATTCCGAAAGCATTATGGGAATTCATTTTCGTAAGACTTTCAGTTTGAGATATATCGATATATCTCTAAATAAAATGTTCATTTATATAGACTATATAAATGTGGCACTATTTAAAGATGTCAGTCATATGATCTGATTTTGTTCTTACTTTGTCTAAAATTGGACTTTGTGATAATTTTCGGTCGTTTATTCTTGAAGTATCAGTGAGCTGTTCTTTTTTATAAGATGCTTTTTTCAACGTCACTTTAGGTATATCGATTGACTCGTCAGTACCTATGATGGTAGGAATTGTTGTATCATTCTTACTATTTACTAGTAAAGGATAAACGATATCAGCTAATCTGGGCGTTGGTGATGGTGATGTCGGTATCGGTGATCGATGTCCAATTTCATATTGTTGAATATCATTATTAAACGTCTTATTATCAAATTCATCACGATATGATGGTGTTGTATGAGACGAGGAATGTTTTCGTTCATATTCTGATAGACTATAAATACCATTGTCTTGATTATCGGGAGAATCGATCGACAATGAAAAAGCACCATCATCTAAATGAAATGAGACACCATTCGGTGGACGATGTGTGTTCTCAGAATTGACAATTGTCTTTTTTATATGATCATTCGACTTCGATGATGATAACGCATCACGTGATAAACGTTCAACAGAAAATAAACGTTCTTTTGGCATACTACTCGTCATATTATGTTGCAAATCTTGAGCAGGTGACGAATAGGAATGATATTGTTCATTAGGTAATAATGTATTTGATGTTGCTTTTAGCGTAGTATTCTCTGGTTGTCTAATCATTGTTGAATGTGATTCAATAACGGTTGAAAGTGATGTATTGGACGGTTCTAAAACAGTGTCAACTTCCACATGCGGTTCAGAATAACGACGAAAACTATCGAATTGTCGTGATGATTTTGATTGTTCCAGATTAATATTGACTGCTTTATTTGTCTGTTGAAGTGTATCTGTTGGATGCATTTGAACAACAAGAGATGAAATCAAAGAATTAAGTTCATTCTGGTGCATATCAAAACTTTTTTGGCTAAAAAAAATGAGATAGATAAATTATTAGGAACTATATGATAATATAAAATTACCTTCGAACAACAATTTCAAATTCATCCTGAATAGAATTCATTAAATTTTTTACAAATAAGGCACTTTTACCACGAAGACTAACGCCACCAATCTCTAATGCTTCATCACCTGAATGAAAATTTTGTTATGATATAATTAAAAAAAAACATTAAATTAATCATTGTATATTTAATTTACCTTCTCTAACAGCATTTTTCAATATTTCGTAGTTTCGATGATGTACATCAATGTTTTCAATAATGGCTGTTACTTCAGTACAATCTGGTAGAGAATGACCACCAGTGATTCTTAATCCGAGATTCGTTGCATCTAAACAACAATAAAAGATGTCACATTTTCTGCTAAATATTGTAGATGATTTGTTATATACTTGTACGACTATGTATATCCTTTGTTAGAAGTAGTTTTGATACTGAAAATGGATAAGTGGTCTCTGTCGATGTACTCTAAACAAAGATCAAAATGATTTAAGTGTATTTAAATTTAATCATGTTTTAATTATTAACTTACCTTTTGTACTTTCTTTCGGTTTGATGTTTCATTTGTTGATACTTGTTCTGAAAAATAAACACAATATATTAAAGAGAGAAATGCAGACATATAAAACTGACCGGGATTTATTATTTGTGATTGAATTTGACGTAGATCTTCTGTTATCGTTTCTGATGTATTTGTCTCATTATCAGTTTTCGTAATAGCATTTGTTAAAGTATGTTTCTGTCGAGTATCGGAATCTTTTTTCTTTGATTTCTTTTTGGATAAATGTCGATCGTTCCTAGTGTTTGTTGTCTGATCTTTATGCAAAACTTTTGGTGTTGATGGTGGTAGATGTTCTTCGTGATCATGATTTAAACCATTAGAAATTGAATGTATTTTGGACGACAAATGTTCATTTGTCGTTAATTCTGGCTGAGGGATAAACTCATGCAAATTGACGATAGAATCTGTTTTTGAACGTTCTTTCGTACTAGCTGTATTTAAATCAATCTCAAGTAAATCTTCGTCAAAATCTTCTCGTAATGCATTTAATTGATGAGCATTTTGATGACTGACCGATACAGATAATCGAGGTAGAGGAAGACAAGTTGAATCGGATGAATGATTTATAAGACCCGATTGTGCACCATTTCGATCGGGTAGAGAAAATTGTGACTCAGAATTCGTTCGTCGAAGAGCAATAGAATATGGTATCGTTGGTAAACTACGTTTCATACGTTTTAGATCCTAAAAAAATTTGAAAATTTTTCGATTTAGTTAAATTGTCTGAGAAAAAGAATTATACGATACCTTATATTCGAGTATCTTTCTTGGCAAACTTTTTGTTTCTGTTGCTGTCACCAAATTCTCTTCAGCTTGACGCATATATTTTGAAAACATATCTATTGTTGGCGACACATTGTGATGCTTATTAATCTCCATTACGTTAGTTGTAATAACTGGCGTATTCTCCTTATCTGACGGCTTTTGACTAATATGATTTAATTTTTGATGTATACCTAATGACCGACTAAGACTCCCACGTCTTGATACTGTTTCATCTTCAGATTCTGTTGTAACTATAGATTCAATTTCCATTTCTTGTACGGCATTAGTATCATCAATTTTTTCCATAGGATCATCTGCTGCTGATGGAAACTTTCGCGATATATTTGCTATTGTATCCGCTAATTCTTGGATATGATCACGTTCTTTCTTTATAGGGAGCTTTTGCTGATTGTTATTCTCTTCATCCGATGACGGATAAGCGTCAATCTCATCGACAATATATTGATGAGAAGGAGAGAGGGGTGGTTGCTGAAGAGACGCTTGCTCAACGATAGATTTGTTTTCAATTGGTATTATTTCAGTATACGATGGCCCCTGATAGAGAAAGTCTTCTTCAGCTACCTCTGTTAGACTACCTAAACGTGTACTATTCGATTTGCTAGATGGAACAAAGTGTTCATCGAGAACACTAGCATCACTATTTGACTCTAAATCAACTTCATTAAGAGATATTGACTCATTATCTTCTCGAGTTGTGACAGATTGAGGCCTGTAATGATTACTTATGTAAGACGCATATTCGCCAATGGTATTTGGTATATTCCCTTCTTCTTCTTCAACGTTATCATCGTCATCAGTTGACTCAACAGAAGTCTCTCGGGGTGAAATATTATCATAAATATTATTCTCATCGTTGGTTGACAAGCTGTCATCTTCTTCTGTTTTGTTCCAATATTCAAAATCTTGTACTTGAGGATGATGATCTGGAAATATCATTTTTAATTTTGACGTATCAAATATTTGCTTTTCAACGCAAATTGTTTCTAAATATTGGATGATGCTGTTAATATAAAAGAGCAGCTTGAAGGAAAAATTTCCGTCATCTTACGTTTGTTAAGTGACATTTCTGTTGTTGTCTCAGTATTGTTCAACTATAAAGAGATGAATATTTTTCTTTTCGTTATAGAAGAAAAGTGTGACTACCATACTGACATGTTGTAATTCCATACAATTCGAACATATTGATGATGATGTTTGTTCCACTTGTTGTCCACAGGTTAAGCAATTTTCAATTTGTACATCATTGTTTTGTTTTTGTTGATCTTGTTCAATTGGTAGCAAATAATTAATCTTGTTTTTTTCTTCATGTAGTTGTTGCTGTTGTCTGAAACAAAAAAAGTGGCAAGTGACGATGAAAATAATTAACTGTTTTGTGATAGATTGTGTCACGATATCAAAATTTTTTTCCTCAAAGAACAAAAGAAAGACTAATTCATCCATAATAACATTTTTGTTTAGAATTTATAAGTCGAGACAACTGTGTGTATGTGATCTCAGCGGATGAATTAATCGGCAACATGTAAGTTTTCAATTTTCTCTGTTCTCTTCATATATCTTTGATTTTTCGATAGAAATAATGTATCGGAACAACAAGAGTAACTCTTTTAAAGTCTATTATGAAGAAAAGTACTAACAATAAAAAGAAAAAGAGAGCGATCGTTCTCAATGTGAATGGCATTGAACTTTCTGACATTGCAAGTTAAGATAGTGCGTATTAGCACACAATATAGCGAAATTAAATCTATCCAAAAGAAACATAAAAATCAACATTTTAAATATCTTGAGTGCTAATTGAAGTGGGATTGGTAAATAGTCATTTATCTGAAAATATTAATACATCTAATAGACTACTGTTCATTTTGTTAAAACTTACTCATCATCTATGCTGGATGACGTTGACGTTGACGATGATGTTGATGTTGATGTTGATATAGACTTGGTGGTGGTAGTTTCTTGTTGTTCAACTTGTCTCGCTCGTATCAAAACAGCAACTATGTGTTCTTGTTCATCTCTGTTTAGATGACTTAAATCAATTTCAGGTGACGATGGTGGCAGAGTCGATGATGAACTTCGTGGTCGAGTGTTAGAATTATTAAAATTATCCATTGACATTGGTCTTGATAAATAATTAGTCGAACGAGTCGATAATTGAGCATGATGATGATTGAGATGATTATTTGTTGTTTCAGGTATATCTAATGTAACATCTACAGCACTTTGTACCCATTTTCGGAATGAATTTAACATGGTTTTAACTTATTAAAATATTCATTATCAAATAACAACATGATATCTTTCCATATATAAGTAAATAATTATTATTCGATTATTTTTTATTCAATTTATTACTGCTTTTTTTTCTGTTATTATTCGTATTTTTTTGTTACCTTCTTCGATTATATAAGGTAACAATACAATAGATAATAATACTGTCGTTTTTCCTCTATGAGTATTAATTAAACCTTTATTATTATCAAGATTCATCATCACTAATTTTCTGTTTTAACAATATTTTTTGTTTCTCTTCTTGGCTTTTCACATATTCAAAATTATCATCTCTCTTCCAACGTCCTTTTTTTTATGTTCATCTTTATTCCTAGAATTTCCTTCTTTTCCTTGCACATTTCGTTTCCCACTGACACTATCCTGTGCGTGAATAGCTAGTTAGAAAATCACTCTATACACATTTTTACTCTATGTCATGTGTGTGTGTATAGATTTTCTTTTTAGTTTAACAATACTTTCATTCTTTCGCCAGTGTTATACTCGAGTAGAAGGAAAAAAATTTTTCGATTCTCTCTAGGAAAAGCATTTTTCTTTTAATATAAATCTTTTATTGTTACTACAACTATATCTACTAGTTTTATTATTAATGTGCTCGATATATACGCTTATTTTTTCTTTCAATTCTTCTCGAAGTAATCATAGAATAGAACACATAGTTTTTTATTTTTTATAAACTATAGATAGATGAAACCACATCATGGCTTTTTCTTTTTTCGTTTCTCTGTTACGCTATACCTCTCAGAAATAGAAAACAACATTGGTCCAGTTTTCTTTCTTCGTCTATATATTTATAGAAGACCACGTACATTTAATCTGTTCACAAAGCATATTTTAAACTCATTGAATTGTTTTTATTCACTCGCGTAGAAGAGAATTTGAAGAGGAGAAAATGCGTATATATACTGAAAGAGAAAAACCATAAAATAGAAGCTCAACTTTCAATATCTTTAAAAATCTTCTTTATATGTGTACACATCTCAAAAAAGATAATAATCAAAAAGCATTAGAAACATTGATTTATTTAATAACTTTTTTTGTCATTTTTTGTTATTTATACAAGAGCTATATGGAAAAAGTCATTTTGATGTTTGAAATAAACATAAATTTAGGCAAGAATCGAGCGTATCATTTTGACGTTGAATAATACAGTTTGTTGTCTGATTAAGATTACACGGAGCTATGATCTCTTTGATTAAGTGTATATGAGAGAGAAATTATAGTTTTCAGCTGTTTTTTCACTATCACGTCGGAAACTCCCACTAAGAAAAAAGAAAAAAATGTTTCCGTTGATAAGCGGTGGATTTCCCCGCCAATAATTCATTAAATTATGATTAGACATTAAATACAGATAGAATTTAACTCAATACTGGTGATAGGGTTATGTCACGACTTGCTTGTTTAATTTGACGGAGAAAGCTGTCCAGTGCATGATCTTATTCTCTCATCAAGAAACACCTCCAGACACGAACGTGTACCCGCTAAACCGCATGGGTAACCGCGTGTGATTTGATTTTATACACAGTTCATACCGTTGATATCCGTTCAAGCGGATATCAGACCGATTCACGCCGATGGAGCACCGGTAAACCGAAGGTTTAACCGGTTATTCACTGAAAAACCGCGGGGAAGACTGTCAATTTTTCGCTCGTTTTTTGTAAAATTAGCACAAGCGGTTCTCGGCGGTCATGACCGCTGTCCGCGGTTGTCCATAAAGCATATACAGTCACTGCGGTTGCTACTGAAACAATTTCAGAAATCGATGGGGTATCAGCGGGTAGTTTTTTTCTTGGAGAAATAACCGCGGGTCAGTGCGGTTGGGTGACAATAACTCATTCACTGATTTGTTTTGCGACACTATTTGTTATATAAGAACACAAGTTTTGTGCAGTTGATGTATGGTTTTGAACTTTTATCATTTCTGTGAAGTCAAAGTAATAAGTCAGAGAAATGGTTCTCGGCAAATCAGTAACGCTCCCTTTTTAAAAAAGGCAGTGTGCACAGCCAGGTCTCTCTCAAAATCAAGCGAGACGAAAGCTCAGACCCAAGAACATTTTACCCGGTTTTGAGCGTTCTTGTTCTCCTTAGCTTAAAGTAAGCTTTAGGAGAGAAAACCATCTTGGTAGGCGGTTCAAAAATTTTCAAAAAAGTATGATCGGCGAGAACCGCGGATACTTTTTAAAAGGGAGTGGATGAATCGCTCCCTTTCTAAAATAATCGCTGATCTAGGCGGATATCTTTTTTTCCAGTCTCTGTGAAGCGCAATTTTATACAAAAAGTAACTGCCTTCATCTGCGGGTAAATCGAAAAGGGCGATTTCAGCCAATTTAGCATACACTTAGATCTTTGTGGTTTTCACCAAAATATAACCGCCGTGAACCGCTGCTATACCCCAATGATACAAAAATAATATCAAAAACACACCCGTGGTTTTTATACCAGAGACCGGCTATTGTGTCGCAAACTGTCGGTTTTAACCGATTTTTCGGCTTGAAAATAAACCGGTGTGATTCGTATTTTTGGTTTTTCCTATTGATTTTCGTGTACGAGCGGGCCGGCGTGAGTAAACTTAACACAATATACCATACTTACCGAAGTAAACGATTGTTCCAAACTCAAAAAATGACAAATTTACAGAATCTCGAACATACAGATGCTTGATTATCCGTTGTCAGAATTTTTGCATATTTCCTGACAGGTGAATGATTTTCATAGTCAGAGTTACTATTCCCGTCTGTTTGTGTATCTGTTTCTTTTTAAGAGCTCGCGTATTAAGTGTTTTCGTAGTCCTTATGTGTGTTCGATTTTTTTCAATATCAAGAACAGGAGTTCTGACAGTCGAGTATTATGTCAACTCAGGGACCTGAGTAGGTGCCGGACATTGAAGGGGGGGGGGGGGGGGACGACCGTTTTTTGGCCGAGATAGTGTAAAGTTTATTTTAAATAATTACCTTGTTACTGTTCTTTTAAATTTTTGGGGGGTACGCACCCCCCACACACACCCAAAATTCAGGTCTCTGTGTCAACTTAGTTCATACTGTTACAAATATCTTAATTAAAAAATCTGAAAACGGATAATCACGCATGTGTATATAGGAAAGTCTTGATTAAGTTATACAATTAAAACGAACGTATCTTGAGTTTAAATGGATAGTGGCAAGTAGAGTCCTGCGGTAACAAAAAAATCCCATTACTTTACCATTACCATGGTAATGGTAATGGTAATGGTAAAAAAAAAATTTGGATTTGTGGTAATAGATGGTAAATGGTAACAAAAATTTAAATT